GTGGATAGTGATGGGACAAGGGGGAATGGTCTGAAACTGAGACAGGGGAGGTTTAGGTTGGATACAAAGAGGAAGTTTTTCCCCCAGAGGGTGGTGAGGCACTGGCACAGGTTGCCCAAGGAGGCTGTGGATGCCCCATCCCTGCAGGCATTCAAGGCCAGGCTGGATGTGGCTCTGGGCAGCCTGGGCTGCTGGTTGTTGACCTGCACACAGCAGGGGGTTGGAGCTGGATGAGCATTGTGGGCCTTTGCAACCCAGGCCAGCCTATGATTCTGTGATTCTATGATAAGTGAAGCCAGTGACAATATTCATAAAGGAAAATCCAACAACAGCAAAGGAAGCTCCTGGTTATTACAAAAAAATAGAACAAGTGGTACACTAGGAAATATTTTAGTGAATGACATATTGCAAGAAAACCAAGAAAAAGAAAGACTTTAAAAGAAACAGTGCAAAGCACTCAATTTCATAAAAGCATGTTAACTGAGATCTTTATGCAAAGTATGGTTTCAAAAGTATGGTTTATGGTTTCAAACTCAAAGAGGGGAAGATTTAGATTGGAGATAAGGAAAAAGAGATTTTTACAATAAGGGTGCTGAGGGCATAGGCTGCTCTGAGAGATGGTGAGCACCCCATCCCTGCAGACAGCCAAGGTCAGGCTGGATGGGCTCTGAGCACTGATGGAGCTGTGGGTGTCCCTGCTCAGGGCAGGGAGTGGGACCAAATGGCTTTGAAGGGTCCCTTCCAACTCACATGATTCTATGAAATACAACAGAGAAGTCATAACCACTACCCCAAAGAGCTTGCAGCTTCAGATGTGATGCTGCAGGTGAAATAACAACTAAGTTGCTTTATGAAAGCATGGCTTCCATAGACAGCCCGTAGGATTTGGGCTTAATTTGAATCATAATGCAAAAAATAACATAGATCTGAAAAAGTGAGCCATTCAAGTATAATTAGGAACACTTCCTCTCACTGCTACAAATTAGTCCTGCAAGCTTACTTTATAGACTGCCACTTCACATTGGAGCAGGTCTCTCAATACGATCACCTCAAAATGCAGCACCATAAACAGCCATTTGATGCAGAAATCCCTTCAACACACACACAGTCCTTATTATACTTTTATGAGCTGTATAAATTAGTAATGGTTAAACATACCACTTTTATTAACCTAATAAACCCTCGCCTTAAGAAATTCATAATTCAAATGCTGAAGACAACCACCACCGCCACAAGTAAACATTGCAAAGCTTCAATTCCTACAGTTGCAGCCATCTGACAGGTTTGCAATTTTGAGCCCTTTGGTGCAGAGGGAAGGAAAAAACATTACTCGTGACCCTGAAGAAAACAAATACTTGCTTCACGTCCAAAGTCCCAGAACTTCGGACAAATGTTATTTAGAACAAAGCACATACTAAAGGTTTCCAAGAAAGCCTCAAAGCTTATTAAAAAAAGCAAAGCCACAGAACTTTAACAACTAGATGGCTCTTAAGAAAAGCAGCTACACAAATGCTTAAATTTAGCACCGAGGAGGTAAGAAAATATTAGGCTTATTGCTATTTCTGTAAATTCTAGGAACATCAGAAACATCACTCGACCATAACATCTGGATTATGACAAATCACTCACCCAGAAATAAAACAAATAACAACAACAAACAATTCCAGGAAATCTTGTTTGGGGTAGAGAAAGGAATTCCATCTTCTAGGCTGGACCTATGCAAAATTAAGGTCCCTTTCAACCCAAGCCACACTGTGATTCTGTGAATTCACATACTGCTTGCAAAGTAACAGGGCATTAATAGCTGCAAAGCAGTTCTTACAAGAGGAGGTACAACCTCAACTGCCAAGCTACGTGTAGGACAAGTGCTCTTTCTTCCCCCTGAACAGGGAGTACTGGATCCTCAGACATCCACCACTCCTGCATGACCTTCACACACAGAATCATAGAATGTCCAGGGTTGGAAGGGACCTCAAGGATCACGAAGCTCCAACCCCCTGCCACACGCAGGGCCACCAACCTCCACATTTCATAGCAGCCCAGGCTGCCCAGGGCCCCATCCAACCTGGCCTTGAACACCTCCAGGGATGGATGGGGCATCCACAGCCTGTCTGGGCAGCTGTTCCAGCACCTCACCACTCTCATGGTAAAGAACTTCCCTTGATATCCAACCTAAATCTCCTGTCCTTCAAGTTATAACCATTTCCCCTTGTCCTGCTGTTACCAACCCTTTCAAAGAGTTGATTCCCCTCCTGTCTGTAGGCTCCCTTTAGGTACTGAAAGGCTGCCATGAGGTCACCCCGCAGCCTTCTTTTCTCCAGGCTGAACAAGCCCAGCTCTCAGCTCAGCCTGTCATTTTACAGGAGGTGCTCCAGCCCCCTGATCGTTTTTGTGGCTCCTCTGGACCCTCTCCAACAGCTCCCTGTCTTTCTTGTACTGGGGGCTCCAGACCTGGGGCCTCACAAGAGCAGAATAGAGAGGGACAATCACCTCCCTGTCCTTGCTGGCCACCATGCTGATGGAGCCCAACAAGCTAACAGCAAGGCCACAGCGAGTCTTTTTGGTGTGTTATCTTTTTTAGTTTCTACGGAATGAAATAGCTCTGATAACAAGATACACCCCCCCTCCCAAAATACATACACCTCCTAATCTATAATCTTCTGCCACATTTCCCCCCCTGATTTCCACCACTTCATCCTCTATTACTTCTGCATACACTCTGTGCAGAATGCAGTCCCTAGCTAAAAATAGCTTGAAGACCATTGAAGACCATTGAAGACACAACACGAGCACAAACCAGGGGCTGTATGAAAGATACATACAACAGAACGGGAAGGTGCGTTATTCATCCTCAAAGATTCAAACCTTGACTGAACCTGTGCAACTTAGCCCAATTTCATCTGCAATTTCATCCAATTTGATTGGACTAGAGACCTCCAGTGGCCCCTTCCAACCTGAGTTATTGTACAATCTCACAATCCAGGCAGTAAAAAAACAAGACAGAAAATATCTAGGTCACAGCCAAAATGACCTATGAAAGGAAAGTGATATGGACAAGAAGACAGACCAAAGCTAGAAGGAATACAGCCCTGGATATAACCATGCATATATGTAAATAAGTTTGTTTTTTTTTTTACATCAGGAGTGGTGAAGCACTGGCACAGGTTGCCCAGAGCTGATGGGTGCCCCATCCCTGGAGATACCGAATGTCAGGCTGGATGAGGCTCTGAGTAGCTGATAGAGCTGTAGGTGTCTCTGTTCACTGCTGTGGACTTGGACCAAATGACCCTTAAAGGTCCCTTCCAACTCAAACAAATCTATGATTCCATCCCTGAAACAAGGCACCACCTTCCAGGTCCACTCCCCACCAGTTCCTACCTCACTGTCCCTGAATCTTCTCCCACCAACTCTCTACAAGGATGTACCCGCCTTCAATTTTGCACACTGCTGAAGTTTAAAAAAAAAAAAAAAAAAAAAAAAAAAAAAAAAAAAGCTGCAGAATTAAAAGCTCTGATGAACTTAATCTGACATTTCACAGCATCATAGAAACAAGTCGAAAGGGACCCTTCAAGGCCATCTGTCCCACTCCTTGCAGTGAGCAGGGACACCCACAGCTCCATCAGTGCCCATCCAGCCTGACCTTGGCTGTCTGCAGGGATGGGGCAACAACCACCTCTCTGGGCAACCATGCAGTGCATCACCACTCTTACTGTAAGCAACTTTTTCATTATGTCCAGTATAAATCTCTCTACTTTTTGTTTAAATCCATTTCCCCTTGTTCTATCACAGCAGACCCTGTCTGTGCCTTCTTTCCTGTAGCTCCCCTTTAGACACTGACAGGTTGCTCTCAGGTCACCTCGCAGCCTTCTCTTTTCCATGCTGCACAGCCCCAACTCTCTCAGCCTGTCCTCACAGGAGAGCTGTTCCATCCCTGGGATCACTTTTGTAGCCTTCCTTTGGATGCACTCCAACAGATCCATGTCACTCCTGTACTGAGAACTTCACATCTGGACACCTCCATTTCAAAAGGCATGGAAATACTTGACGCAGCAACATTAACATTTATTCTTCCTACTTACCAAAACAAACTAAAAGCGTTATTTAGTTTCAGATCACTAGCTGTAGCTATTAAACTGCCTTCACTCCATCACCCCCAAGGAATTATTGGCATACTTCTGTGAGAATGTGGGAAAACAAAACCTTACACGTTTCTTGGATCCCTGCCTTCTTCTTCACCTCCCCACTCCCTGGCTGCAGTTCCCTTTTCATACTTGCTTCCTCATCATCTAGAGCAAGTTTTTCTAATTAAGACGAGTCATAAACATTTAAACAGATGCCCAGACCGCGGTGTGATTAGCAAAACCCTCAGGCAAGTTTCATTGAGGGGGAAAAAAAAAAAATAAAATTAAAGAAGGGAGAAAAAAAGAAACTCAAAACCCAAAACACCACCAAAACCTCTCCTCGATTCACACTTCCTCTTCCAAGTTTTCGTGTTTGTTTTCATGTGTTTCCCCCACATTTCACCCGGTCAACACATTGCCCCTCACCCAACGAGGGCAAAGAGGAGGAGTTACTCAACGGAGGTGCAGGGAAAAGACAGGAACGGTGTTATTTTCCCCCAAAACCCCAAGGAGCAGGAAGAAGGAAGAAATCTCCGACGCAGGGTAGGGCCTGGCTGTAAAACAGGTGCAGGAGGTGTGGGCTGGGGTGTCCACACACACAAACAAAAAATCACCATAAAACGGGGTGAGATGAGGGAAAAAAAAGAGGTCGGTTTTGAAGCAGAGACGTGTCAGGAGCGAAGACAACCGCTCGTGGGGGCAGCCCGGCTTCACCCACCCGACGGACACAAGCACATCCAGCCCTGCTCCCGCACACGCCCGGTAACAGCTACGCTTCCACACACAGACCGGACGGACGCCGACGGGACCCGCCGCCTTCAGGGCCGCTCCCGCCGCGGGCCGGCCGGGCTGCGGGGCGCTGAAGGAGGAGGCTCTCACCTCGCCGGTTCATGGGGCGGACGCGCACCGCCACCTTCACTTTGGAATCCCCCATCGCGCCGCTCCGACCTCCCCGGCTCCCTCGTTCCCTCCTCGGCTTCCGTCTACCGAGGGACAACCGCCGGCGGCGCGGGGAGGAGCGCGGAGCGGGGCGGGGGACCGAGGCCGGGCGGCAGCGGGAGGGAGGTGCCGCGCCGGACCAACGTCCGGCGGGACTACAGCTCCCAGCGTGCAGCGCGCCACACCGCCCCTCCGCTCCCTGCGGGCAGCCGCGCTGCACGCTGGGAGCTGTAGTCCCGCCCGCGGGTCGGGGTTGGAGCGTGAGCGTTGCATGCTGGGATATGTAGTCCTCCAGAGACAGTGAAACTCTGCGGGTGCCTGCAGGGCGGGTTCCCTCACCCTGGTCCTGGGCGGCTGTGGATGAGCTGTGTGACAGCTCAGAGCCTTCTGAGGGGCATAAGGAGATTTTCCACCGTGAGCAGGCAGCGTTGTATGCTGCTTTTGGCGTTAAATGTATTTCTCCTGCTCGTTTTCCAAACTCTTCACCCATTGCATAAGCTCACAAGTAGCAGAACTGCACCTTTGGTCATGGAACTGAGCCATACTGAAATAAAAGTTTTAAAATATCTTTTAAAACTCCCCACAAAAGTAATATTTTCTTTCATATTTGAGTTCTGGAAGCGTTGTGTATGAGGATGGGCCTACTTGAGTGTATAGAATAGTGCTTGATGCGATAATCAATAATGCATTTGGAAACCAGATGATCTTAGTGGTCTTTTCCAACCTTAGTGATTCTATGATAACTTCGTGTTCACTGGGAGAATTCACAGGGATGAAGATGCAACAGCCAAGCCTGAAAACTGACCATCTGGAGTTATCTAATGCTTTGGAGTGTATGCACTGTGAGGAGACTGCATTGAGACGTTGCACCTCTCTGCAAGGTTGACTCTACAGGTAAAGAAGCACCACAGCCTTGCTTTGCTGCTCTGCAGACTTCTGGATAACAGAAGTCACGTAAAGATCATAGAACTATAGAATCATTCAAGTTGGAAAAGACCTCTGAGATCACCCAGTCCAACACCAGCCCACCCCACTATGCCCACTGCCCACATCCTTCAGTGCCACATCTCCATTTTCCTTAACACCTCCTGGGATGGTGACCCCACCACGTCCCTGGGCAGCTGTGCCACAGCATCACTGCTCTTTCTGAGAATAAATATTTCCTAATATCCAAACCAAACCTCCCTTGGCACAGCTTGAGATCATCACCTCTCCTTCTATCATCATTACTTGGGAACAGAGGCCAACCCCCACCTCACCACAATCTTCTTTCAGGTCATTAACTACAGCTTTATTAGGAAAGGCAGTTGAGGAAAATAATAATCAGGAGTGGTTTGAACAATATTACAGTTTCTCCTCCTTTTATGGCCCAACTGCTCAACCACAGCCACTTCTTAGAAAGACCAACAGTGAAACCCTAATGCAAAAATGCAAAATCTCATTTAAATGGTCATGCTTGAAAAGCCTTGTCACTGCTACTTTAGTTCAAAACAAGGGCTCTCTCTGTGCTATTTTGAAAGGCCAGATTTCAGCATGGACAGATAAAAATTATTCAGAATCGTAATCCTCTGGCCCATCAGCATTGAGGATGGAGACAAGGCTTTGTGACAGTGGCAGAAATAAATAACACACCTCCAAGAGGTTTTGACATAAGATTTCAGGAAGTAGCACTTTATGCCCAGAAGAATTGCACTCAATATATACCATCTCATGCCTGACTGATCTGAAGAATATCTTGTCAAGGTAAGGAAAATACCAGTACTAAGCTGGGATTTAACTGGCACAGGGATTAATGCCCATATTTCTAACAGGAGTGCCAGACTATCTTCAGTGCATGCAAAGGTTAGCAAGCTATCCTGAGGGTAAATAATAAGAATAATATCAACAATAATAATTATCATAATAATAATCCCACCAGCAGCAGCAGGTCAGACCAAGTGGCCAAAGTTTTGAAACACAATTTGAGATTTTATAGGTGGGAGCAGAACACACCAGTTCATCAATGACCCTTTCCACAGCCATGCACTGGAATTGGTTTCTTCCAACCTACTTCATTCAATTATTCTGTGGTCTCTTCCAACACAATTCATTTTATGATTCTGTTATCTTTAAGGTCTCCCTTCCAACACAATTCATTCTATGATTCTGTGATCTTTAAGGTCCCTTCCAATCCAGTTCATTCTATGATTCTCTGATTCTAACTCCTTGGCATGCCATGTTCAGCCCAGTGCTGTGTGCAGTTTCTTGCTGGGAGCTGGGAGTTCCACTTTCAGCCTGCACAGTTGGTTCTTGCACTTGTGAACTTGAGGATCCGATTACAGGATGAAACCAGGCTTTGAACTTCTTGTGGTATTTTCCAGCTGGGGCCTCAGCAAACCGCACCAATGTCTTCTGAAACTGAGTGTTTTGTGATGGAGATAAATATAATCCTGGCTTTATAGCTGGGATGGTGAGCAATGAGTGGAGGGTTTTTGCATAGGGTTGAGTCACCTGCAGTCTGATTTGAATAAATGAGATGAAACCAGCCAGATGTGCAGACTGCTGTGTGTAGCAAGTGTGACCCAAATCCAGTCTGTGCCTTTGCCATGCATCTTCTCCTCTGGTATTAGCTCCTTACCATTGATCCCTGCAATGCATAAGATCAAACAGTAAGTCCTTTTGGGGAAAAGATTGTGTATGTCTTCTTATTTCTTAGGGAAAGGTGCCTGCATGATTATAGTGCTGTCTACATGGACAAGAACAAATGCAAACATAACATTTTTGCAAGCTTTCCACTGTTTTTCTGCATGGAATGAAGAATTTATCATAAATTGTGAAAAAAAAAAACACATTAGCAGCATTTCAGTTTTAACTGCCAAAGAGAAACTTCAGATTCATACATCTTTCAGACAGTCATCACTACTTTCTCCAAACTTGTTCAATCCATGAGACATCCTTAGAGCCCATTCTCCTCTTGGATGTCTTTTTGCATCAAGTCCTACTGGGGCTCTGGAGCAACAGCTTCTCTCTGCAGTTATGCCTGTGGACATTTCCTTTACACTGCTCCTGTCTCCCGCAATGAATTACAGTAATGCAACTTATCTTGCACCGGCACGGACTACCTCAATGTAATTACCCCACAGTGAATTCCTCCACTAGCCCTTTCCCTGGCTCAGGGTTTCACAATCTGTGGGAAGCATCTCCCTGGAGGGGCACAGCTTGGAGGGAGGATATTGTTTCCATTCACAGCACTGGAACATGCTAATTATACTGGGAGAAAGAAGGAGGGGGGATGGCAGCATTCACTTGAGAGGGACAGGCCTGGCAAATAGTTTGTGAAACGCCGACTTAACCCTGTCTTGTAGGGAATTGTCTGGAACTCCTTTCCCCCTTCTTAGTTACTGTAATGAGGGGCTGACTTCCCAGATTTGCTCTGGCTATTTAAATGCTAATTTAATTAACAAAACATCCTTGGGGGGGACGCATTGCTAGTCCCTCCCATTCATTTATCGAGTTTCTGAGTGCAACACTATTTTCATCACATTGAGGAGCCAGAGTTATTGCTATACCACCTGGCCATGGCAGGGATTAAAGCAGTAATATGGAGAAGAGAAAGGGGAAGGGGAAGGGGAAGGGGAAGGGGAAGGGGAAAGGGAAGGGGAAGGGGAAGGGGAAGGGGAAGGGAAGGGAAGGGAAGGGAAGGGAAGGGAAGGGAAGGGAAGGGAAGGGAAGGGAAGGGAAGGGAAGGGAAGGGAAGGGAAGGGAAGGGAAGGGAAGGGAAGGGAAGGGAAGGGAAGGGAAGGGAAGGGAAGGGAAGGGAAGGGAAGGGAAGGGAAGGGAAGGGAAGGGAAGGGAAGGGAAGGGAAGGGAAGGGAAGGGAAGGGAAGGGAAGGGAAGGGAAGGGAAGGGAAGGGAAGGGAAGGGAAGGGATCCTTCATGTTAGTACTTTATAAGCTAAGAATGTATAGAGTCAACAAAGTCATAAGGATTTCCTTCACTTGACTGTGATGCCTGGAATGTGTGTACAACTGGGCTGCAGTGGAAGTGATTGGTTTTCATTTTTATCTAGATGAAGGTGTGAACAAATCTCAGATCACCTAGATTAATTGTATCTCAGGGCAAGCCAGAAATTGTGGCAGACTTTTGGATATCTCTTCTTCTAAACCATAACAAGCAACAAATCAAGCATATTTTAAATCAATTTTTTCATCTGCAAGATGCTGTATCAGAAGAGACACATCAATTATGAATTTGCTGGAGACCTAGTTTCTACCCATAAATGATTCAGGCTTTGGGAAACTAAACCAGAAGATTTAATCAGTGTTTGGTTCTTTGCATGGAAGCTCTGAAATGTCACTGCCATTCACTTTTGCAGGAAGCTGAATGCTGCTAGGGTGGTCCCACCAGGGACTGGGAGGCATTTGGGGCACCCAGCAGCCTTGCAGCTGCCATGAACACATCCTCAGCAAGGAATTGTGCAGTGACACATCCGCACAACAGGACTTAATGTTGTACATGCTTCATAGATTGTTCCTTTTTTTTAATTCTGTCCCTGGGATAACACTAGTAATTATGCACAAGCTTGCTAGAAACTGGGAAAATAATAACTCTGGGAAAAACAGAAAGTGCTTTTATCCAAATCAGTTGTATCAAATTTCTGCTTGTTCTCAATATTTCCTTCCTTCCTTCCTTCCTTCCTTCCTTCCTTCCTTCCTTCCTTCCTTCCTTCCTTCCTTCCTTCCTTCCTTCCTTCCTTCCTTCCTTCCTTCCTTCCTTCCTTCCTTCCTTCCTCTTTCTTATGCAATGCAGTTTGTACAAATTTGCAGGTTCAGAAGGCTACTATTGGCAAATTGCCTGCTATACTTGATTATTTTAAAGGTACCTTTGTAAAACTCTATGTAATACAGAATATGTAATTACCAGTCATGGATAGCTGATTTTTTACAGATCCTGGGCTTAGTGTGAGAGTATCCACATGCAAATAAATGGACTCTTGAAGTCTTCATGCTGTAGTAGGTTGTAATGCAGGGTAAAACATGAAACCAACTTTTTTTTGTAGATCACCTACCTCCATTTTTTTTTTTTTTTTTTTTTTTTTATTCCAAAGTTCAAAGTCCTGGTCATA